AACACCATGAAGGCGGGAATATGCTTGTGTTCTTGGTCAGATCATAGTATTGTGGAGCTGTCTAATACCTTTATAGGCCTAGCGTCTACTCCCTACTGTTGGCGGTTAAATGACTCTATGCTTACAGATACTAGCTCTTGTCAAGAAGTAGCTACCTCCATCCAAGAATATTTTCAGCTGAACAATACTCTTGATACCTCCCCGGCTACGTTGTGGGTGGCCCACAAGGCGATTCTTCAAGGCTGTCTTATTTCTATGGCAGCAGCCAGAAATAGGGATTGCTGGAAACAAATTCAGAAGCTCACTAGGGAACTGGAAACGCATTATAGAACCCATGTAGGTAACCTGTCTTTCCTGAACAGGGGCATGATATCGCAAAAGCGTTTAGAATTGAATACCTTACTATCACAAAAAACTGAAAAACCTTTATCTCGGTCTAAGGCTTCTTTTTTATTACACAGCAATTCAGCTTCGACTATGTGCACTCGGAAACTTAGCCATTCAATATGCCCCCACATATATATATATATATATATATATATATATATAAACTACGTAACAAGTATGGTAACGTTTCCTCTCTGCCCCATGAAGTTCTGGCAATTTTCATAGGATTTTACTCCTTTCTCTCAACTCCTCCACGAGTGAATCCCCCTCCTCTAGAAGTCTCATGGCTTGATTCCTTACCTCTCCCTGCACTTACACCCTCTCAGATATCCTCCCTTAATGCCCCTTGCACTCTGGAGGAAATCACACGAGTGATTAGCACATTGAAAACGTCCACCGCACCGGGCCCGGATGGGTTCTCAGTTAGTTATAACAAGCATTTTGCCCCGCTGTTAGCCCCTTCTCTGGTGTCTATGTTCAATGAGGTTTTACAGGGGGGAAGATTTCCTGATGAGATGCTTTTGGCTAACATATCCCTGTTGCCTAAACCTTTAAAAGTTCACCTACCTCAAAATTATAGACCTATTGGTTATGAATAATGATTTAAAGATATTTAGCCGTATCTTAGCAGATAGATTGGCCCCTATTATCTCCTCCTTAGTCTCCCCAAACCAATCGGGATTTATTCTTGATAGGCTTATCACAGATAATATACATCTCACACTGAATGTCATCCAAGATGCTAACTTGCATTCCAAAGAAATGTTGTTAATGAGTCTAGACATTAATAAGTCTTTTGATAGTGTCCTCTGGCCCTATTTGTTTTCACTGTTGCAGAAATTAAGCTTTAGCGATGAATTTCTATCTGGTGTAAGGGCTCTGTACGATTCCCCCCAAACAAGGATTAGACTCCCTGGCTGCAATTCTGACTTTTTTACTTTGGGCACAGGTACCCGTCAGGGTTGTCTGCTCTCGCCCCTACTCTTTGCGCTTATTTTGGAACCCTTGGCTATTGCTGTAAGGTCACACCCTGATATTTCGGGGGTACACAATTTTTGTCTCATAAATCAAATCATGTATGTATGCTTAAGATGTCATGCTCTTTCTTACTAACCCATTAGTATAATTGCCTAAATTATGTACATTGTTGAACAATTTTGCATCCATATCAGGTCTTACCGTAACTTTTACTAAATCTGTTGTCATGCCTATTATGTTGCTGAGCCTTTGGGGGAGTCCCTCCGTGGTTCTTTCCTATTCCACTGTGCCACGGACCGGATCCTATATTTGGGTATTTATCTTACGCCCAGGGACTCTAGGCTAATTGCAGCCAATTACCCACCATGTGTGTCTCGTCTTTATACTTTGCTTAAGATTGGCATGGGTACCCTATCTCATTTTTGGATAGTTTTACCTAAAATCCTTTATTTATTTTGAGCGTTCCCAATATCGGTTTCTAAAACATTTCTTGATCATTTCCAACAAAGTGATTAATAATTTCATCTGGTGTAACAGACGTCCATGTTTTACCTCGTCTGTCCAATATAAATTGCAATGCACAGGAGGCTTAGGCCTTCCCAGACTCCCTGGACTCCCGGACTCCTTGGGTTAGATTTAAAATCTCAATTCATACGCCTGTATTATTTATCAGGTTTGTTATGGACGAATATTCCCCCTCGCTCATTGTTGACCTATAATTCGATTGTCGTTCACTCTTTGACACTCTGGTCCTGTTATAAATCTAAATTGAGTCTTATCTCTTCTGTTTCACTGGGTTCAATGATTTTCAGTGACCCGAATTTTGACACCGTTTTTGGCCCCACAGGTGTTTCGCTGGTGGTATGATCGACCCCTTATTAGATTATCGGATATTCAGAGAGGTGGGACTTATATCTCCTTTGATATGTTGCAAAAGCTTTTTGATATCTCGCTTCATGAACATTACCGCCATCGGCAAATAAGACACTTTTTAGTTCGGATTTTGGATTGACACTAGAGATGAGCGAAGTATTCAAAAATTCGATTCGGATGATTCGGCGAATTCGCGGAATAAATTCGATTCGAGTCGAATATATTCGCTGCGAATTTAATTTATAAAAAGGGTGTTTCTAGGCTTCAGAGAGCCTTTATATTAGTGCAGAACACTGTACCTTTAATTTAAATGCCCTTGGAGTCTGCTGGGGAAGAGAAATAATACTGTCAGTCAGTATGACATGCAGATGAGTGCCGTCGATCTTAGAATCACCGCACACTTCACTCATTTGGGCAGTCACGGGGCCAAAACCAGAGTGTGGAGCCACAGTGTGGCGGTGGAGGCAGCAGCAATGGGAGGCCCGTAATCTGCCAGCACCCTATGACAAAATGGAACCCACCAGCAGTGTGAGGAGACCTGAAAGTGGCACATGGTAGAGTGTGGCGATGGAGACAGCAACAATGGGAGGCCGTACAGGGACCCATGACACACTCTGGACCTGGCAGCAGCATGAGGAGGCGGGGCCCATGACAGATACAGGGGCCCATGGCAGATTACGGGCCTGGCAGCAGCAATGGGAGGCCCGTAATCTGCCAGCACCCTATGACAAAATGGAACCCACCAGCAGTGTGAGGAGACCTGAAAGTGGCACATGGCAGAGTGTGGCGATGGAGACAGCAGCAATGGGAGGCCGTACAGGGACCCATGAAACATTACGGGCCTGGCAGCAGCATGAGGAGGCGGTACAGGGGCCCATGGCAGATTACGGGCCTGGCAGCAGCAATGGGAGGCCCGTAATCTGCCGCACCCTATGACAAAATGGAACCCACCAGCAGTGTGAGGAGACCTGAAAGTGGCACATGGCAGAGTGTGGCGATGGAGACAGCAGCAATGGGAGGCCGTACAGGGACCCATGAGACACTCTGGACCTGGCAGCAGCATGAGGAGGCGGTACAGGGGCCCATGACAGATTACGGGCCTGGCAGCAGCATGAGGAGTCGGTACGGGGGCCCATGGCATATTACGGGCCTGGCAGCAGCAATGGGAGGCCCGTAATCTGCCAGCACCCTATGACAAAATGGAACCCACCAGCAGTGTGAGGAGACCTGAAAGTGGCACATGGCAGAGTGTGGCGATGGAGACAGCAGCAATGGGAGGCCGTACAGGGACCCATGACACACTCTGGACCTGGCAGCAGCATGAGGAGGAGGCGGTACGGGGGCCCATGGCAGATTACGGGCCTGGCAGCAGCAATGGGAGGCCCGTAATCTGCCAGCACCCTATGACAAAATGGAACCCACACAGCAGTGTGAGGAGACCTGAAAGTGGCACATTGCAGAGTGTGGCGATGGAGACAGCAGCAATGGGAGGCCGTACAGGGACCCATGAGACACTCTGGACCTGGCAGCAGCATGAGGAGGCGGAACGGGGGCCCATGGCAGATTACGGGCCTGGCAGCAGCAATGGGAGGCCCGTAATCTGCCAGCACCCTACGACAAAATGGAACCCACCAGCAGTGTGAGGAGACCTGAAAGTGGCACATGGTAGAGTGTGGCGATGGAGACAGCAGCAATGGGAGGCCGTACACGGACCCATGAGACACTCTGGACCTGGCAGCAGCATGAGGAGGCGGTACAGGGACCCATGACACACTCTGGACCTGGCAGCAGCATGAGGAGGCGGTACAGGGGCCCATGGCAGATTACGGGCCTGGCAGCAGCAATGGGAGACCCGTAATCTGCCAGCACCCTATGACAAAATGGAACCCACCAGCAGTGTGTGAGGAGACCTGAAAGTGGCACATGGCAGAGTGTGGCGATGGAGACAGCAGCAATGGGAGGCCGTACAGGGACCCATGAGACACTCTGGACCTGGCAGCAGCATGAGGAGGCGGTACGGGGGCCCATGGCAGATTACGGGCCTGGCAGCAGCAATGGGAGGCCCGTAATCTGCCAGCACCCTATGACAAAATGGAACCCACCAGCAGTGTGAGGAGACCTGAAAGTGGCACATGGCAGAGTGTGGCGATGGAGACAGCAGCAATGGGAGGCCGTACAGGGACCCATGACACACTCTGGACCTGGCAGCAGCATGAGGAGGCGGTACGGGGGCCCATGACAGATTACGGGCCTGGCAGCAGCAATGGGAGGCCCGTAATCTGCCAGCACCCTATGACAAAATGGAACCCACCAGCAGTGTGAGGAGACCTGAAAGTGGCACATGGCAGAGTGTGGCGATGGAGACAGCAGCAATGGGAGGCCGTACAGGGACCCATGAGACACTCTGGACCTGGCAGCAGCATGAGGTGGCGGTACGGGGGCCCATGGCAGATTACTGGCCTGGCAGCAGCAATGGGAGGCCCGTAATCTGCCAGCACCCTATGACAAAATGGAACCCACCAGCAGTGTGAGGAGACCTGAAAGTGGCACATGGCAGAGTGTGGCGATGGAGACAGCAGCAATGGGAGGCCGTACATGGACCCATGAGACACTCTGGACCTGGCAGCAGCATGAGGAGGCGGTACAGGGACCCATGACACACTCTGGACCTGGCAGCAGCATGAGGAGGCGGTATAGGGGCCCATGACAGATTACGGGCCTGGCAGCAGCAATGGGAGGCCCGTAATCTGCCAGCACCCTATGACAAAATGGAACCCACCAGCAGTGTGAGGAGACCTGAAAGTGGCACATGGCAGAGTGTGGCGATGGAGACAGCAGCAATGGGAGGCCGTACAGGGACCCATGAGACACTCTGGACCTGGCAGCAGCATGAGGAGGCGGTACAGGGACCCATGACACACTCTGGACCTGACCTGGCAGCAGCATGAGGAGGCGGTACAGGGGCCCATGACAGATTACGGGCCTGGCAGCAGCAATGGGAGGCCCGTAATCTGGCAGCACCCTATGACAAAATGGAACCCACCAGCAGTGTGAGGAGACCTGAAAGTGACACATGGCAGAGTGTGGCGATGGAGACAGCAGCAATGGGAGGCCGTACAGGGACCCATGAGACACTCTGGACCTGGCAGCAGCATGAGGAGGCGGTACAGGGGCCCATGACAGATTACGGGCCTGGCAGCAGCATGTGGAGTCGGTACGGGGGCCCAATGCAGATTACGGGCCTGGCAGATGACGACGAGGCTTGCCAAGTGCGATCAGCCTCATCATCATCAATTAGGGTCTCCGCCTCACTACTAGCCCCCTCGGCTGCGTGTGGGTCAGGAGACAGACCTGTCTCTAGACCGGCTACCGAGCCACTCTCCTCGCCAGTACTTCTTTCGCCTGGCTGCTGAAGAGGCGGGCGGATGTCTCCCCCCGTTCCTGACCGCCCTCTGTTAGCTCTTCCTCACTGAGGGCTGAGCCCACAGCATGCGATACTTCGCTTGGTGAGGGAACACCAAAGGACAGGGGCAGGTAGAGGACACGTGATTTCAGTGGGCTTGCTCCCGGGCCATGCCAACTAACGGTTGTGTCTGACGTACCCACCGACCGTTGGCTGTAGGTGTCAGAGGTGACCTGGGAAGAGGAAGACGACCGAGCCAACCAATCGATGATGGCAGGGTTGTCGGTGGAGACACGACAGCTGGGTGACACCGGGAGCACTGGCCTCTGGCTGCGACTAGTGCTGCCTCAACCCCTTCCTCTGCTGCCACGTCTGCTCGCTCCTGAAACATTGCCTCCTCTGCCACTCCTCTGCGTGTTGTCTGACATACTCTTTAATTCAACGATTCTGTGTCCCTGAGTAACGATTCTGTGTCCCTGAGTAACAATTCTGTGTCCCTCAGTAACAATTCTGTGTCTGTCCCTGAGTAACAATTCTGTGTCCCTGAGTAACAATTCTGTGTCCCTGAGTAACAATTCTGTGTCCCTCAGTAACAATTCTGTGTCCCTCAGTAACAGTTCTGTGTCTATCCCTGAGTAACAATTCTGTGTCCCTGAGTAACAATTCTGTGTCCCTCAGTAACAATTCTGTGTCCCTGAGTAACAATTCTGTGTCCCTCAGTAACAATTCTGTGTCCCTCAGTAACAATTCTGTGTCCCTCAGTAACAATTCTGTGTCTGTCCCTGAGTAACAATTCTGTGTCCCTGAGTAACAATTCTGTGTCCCTGAGTAACAATTCTGTGTCCGTCAGTAACAATTCTGTGTCCCTCAGTAACAATTCTGTGTCTGTCCCTGAGTAACAATTCTGTGTCCCTGAGTAACAATTCTGTGTCCCTGAGTAACAATTCTGTGTCCCTCAGTAACAATTCTGTGTCCCTCAGTAACAATTCTTTGTCCCTCAGTAACAATTCTGTGTCTGTCCCTGAGTAACAATTCTGTGTCCCTGAGTAACAATTCTGTGTCCCTGAGTAACAATTCTGTGTCCCTCAGTAACAATTCTGTGTCCCTCAGTAACACGTCTGTGTCCCTCAGTAACAATTCTGTGTCTGTCCCTGAGTAACAATTCTGTGTCCCTCAGTAACAATTCTGTGTCCCTCAGTAACAATTCTGTGTCTGTCCTGAGTAACAATTCTGTGTCCCTGAGTAACAATTCTGTGTCCCTCAGTAACAATTCTGTGTCCCTCAGTAACAATTCTGTGTCTGTCCCTGAGTAACAATTCTGTGTCCCTGAGTAACAATTCTGTGTCCCTCAGTAACAATTCTGTGTCCCTCAGTAACAATTCTGTGTCCCTCAGTAACAATTCTGTGTCTGTCCCTGAGTAACAATTCTGTGTCCCTGAGTAACAATTCTGTGTCCCTCAGTAACAATTCTGTGTCCCTCAGTAACAATTCTGTGTCTGTCCCTGAGTAACAATTCTGTGTCCCTGAGTAACAATTCTGTGTCCCTGAGTAACAATTCTGTGTCCGTCAGTAACAATTCTGTGTCCCTCAGTAACAATTCTGTGTCCCTGAGTAACAATTCTGTGTCCCTCAGTAACAATTCTGTGTCCCTCAGTAACAATTCTGTGTCTGTCCCTGAGTAACAATTCTGTGTCCCTGAGTAACAATTCTGTGTCCCTGAGTAACAATTCTGTGTCCCTCAATAACAGTTCTGTGTCCCTCAGTAACAATTCTGTGTCCCTCAGTAACAATTCTGTGTCTGTCCCTGAGTAACAATTCTGTGTCCCTGATTAACAATTCTGTGTCCCTGAGTAACGATTCTGTGTCCCTAAGTAACGATTCTGTGTCCCTAAGTAACGATTCTGTGGCCCTAAAGTCTCTCTGGCCCTAACTCTGTCCCTAATACAGACAGGTCTGTCTCTCTTGAATGACCGCAGGCTAATGGAGAATTGTAAGATGGCCGCAATTTATAGCTCCACCATTACACAGTGCTGGCTGGCTGGCTGCTGATTGGCTAATGCGATCACATGTCATGAATGAATGCATTATGGGTCAGCGCGCCTTGTCTGCGCGCCTTCCCAGAGATCCCCGCTCCGTCGCCACACATGTCGTCGCCATTTTTGGGAAAATTCGATTCGTGCATCCGAAGTTGGCTATTTTTTCGGATTCGGCGCGAATCGAATATTTCCCAATATTCGAAACGAATTCCACTTCGCCATGTTCGATTCGCTCATCTCTAATTGACACCTTCGTCCCCAATCACTTATTTTGAACATATCAGCTGTGAACAGGGGCGGACTGACCATTTGGAAATTCGGGTACTGCTCGAGGGCCCGGGTCAGTAGGGGGCCCCATGAGATGCCCCTGGTACCTTTTTCATAGACTTTTTTGAGTTTTGGCAAGGACACAGGGGCCCCATGATGCCCCATTGCCCAGGTGCCCCATGAGTTGTCAGTTCACCCCTGGCCGTGAATCTCCCAGGTGTAGGGGTCTTATTTCAGATTTATATTGCTCCTTTTCGAATGCTGTCTTTCCCTTACCCCCCCCCCCCCCCCCGTTTGGACAGAAATGGGAGGTTGATTGCGGTATTACATTTTCAGAAGAGGACTGGGAGTCCATGGTGGATAATATACATAGGGGCTCTAGATCTCTTTCTGTCCGTGAGACGGCCCTTAAAGTTTTAACCCGTTGGTATTATACCCCCTCTAAACTACATATCATGTTTCCAGGAATGTTGCACCTCTGTTTTCTGGGTTGTGGCCTTGCTGGTACCCTTATGCATATGTTTTGGGCTTGTCCTGGTCTTTCCTCGATCTGGCGTAAAATTTCTGAGGTGGCCTCTGCCTTGGCGGATACTCTGGTGAATTTGTCTATGCAAGTTTGCTTATTGGGTGCTCCCATTTTGGGGATCCAAGTCACTGTAATGAGGCTGATTCACACTATCTGTGTTTCTACCTTTTGGACCATTGCCCTCCATTGGAAGTCACCGTGCTACCTTTGGCCTCTGTTTTGAGGAGAGTCGATACGGTGATGCTTATGGAACATATTCAATATACATTGCTGGCTAAGATTTTTTTGTAGTCTATCCTTCAATAAAATGTTTGTAAACAAAAAAAAGTGATTTTGTTTCTAGGTGCAGTATTTTGGGGTTTATTTTGTTGCTACATTTTTTATGGTAATATGACATATATTGTAGGTCAAACTGCTTTTGTGTTGTTTCTATTAATTGTTTATAGGCTTTTTTAAGGTAGGGTATTGCACACATTCCCAAAATTGGCCTTTTGTTTAAGGGGTTGTAAATTCAGGGTTTCTTGCTTTTTATTTTATGTTGTTAGGGTCATTTTATTATTTGATGCTCAAAGTGCAGCATTCACTTGCTCCTGACAATCTGTTCTTAGAGCTACGTTTTGTTAGTTTGAAAGAAAAATAGAACTAAGTGCAAGCACATTGTGAACCTAAACCACCTCACATTGTATAACTTCTGTTCAATGCACCCACTATCCCCAAAGTTCATTATTTTTCCAATAAAATTCTTTATATTAACATGCCAAAAGTATCTGAATCTATCTGTGAAGTGTCACATCTGTATGATGTATACAACCTACTGCATCAAAACTTATGCGGGACACCACGCAATTTACATTGTTGGACATTTTTGGATGTATTTTATATTTTAAAAAGGACTTGTCAAAAAGTGTGCAGCTTTATTTATTGTTTCCATTTTTTGTTAATGAGTGGTGGCACAATATACCCCTTGTACAATTTTCTGTTGTTTGCACACATTTAAAAAATAATTTTAGGCCTGAAGATTAGCTAAAACCCACAAGCATTATATATTTTCTGAAAATAATTTATTACACAATATTTCACAGTAATATTTCACATAATATTTGTGCACAGGTTCATAAAACTCACAATTTCAGTAAAATGTCACTAAAGTTAGTTTTAGGGCACAAAAATTTCTTTATACCTTTTTCTTGGTAAAATATAAAAGATGAGGTTGTGCCAAGTGAATAGATACCCAACATGTCAAGCTTTAAATTTGCATGCACCCACAAAATGATGATGAGCTTTGGTATCCTTAATTTTCCATAGCAATGCTTTAAAAGCCCCTACAGGTCATCTGTTTAGAATTAACTATAAATAATGGGCCTAAAATGATTGCTCATCTGCCTTTAATTTAAACCAATGGAGCACAGATGGCATTAGCTTTTTCCCTAGCAGCAAGGGCCAGAGAAAGTCACACCAGAAGCCGTAAGCAGACTTAGATGAGTTGCTTCTGGGTTCATTCTAGTGATGGAGCAAATGGATGTTTGCTGGTCTCCCTCCTCCTCACCCACCTGCCATGTGGGTCCCAGGCCCATAGGTTTGGCAGTGGAGCCTGGGAAGCATGGTGGGGGGGTCACAGTTAGAGGGCACATTCCAGGGGTCACAGAAAGTGATCCAGTGGCTGTACCACCACAAGATAGCTTTCATTAGAAAGCCAATAGTCAGTTTGTGTGGTGTCATTGTTTATATTCAAATAGACCCCTAACCACACACACCCACTAACCTATTGGCCAGGATTGGGGGACGAGCTACATTGCCAGAGAGGACCTAACAGGAAAGGTGCCCTCCCCATGTTGGGGACATGCGGTCTGCTATCATGTTTTGAGAGGGGGTGCACACTAACCCTCCACTGTTCTGGCCTTCCAGGCTGCATTCTCAGATAAGGG